TGGCCTGATTGCCTGTAACCCACTGCCAGCCTAGTCTCCCCGCAACTGCTCTCCTCTGCCAACCTGATCTCACCCCCAACTACCCTCCCCTGCTGGCCTGATAGCCCTTAACTGCCTCTGCCTCAGCCCCCACCACCATGACTTTGTCCAGAAGGAAGTGGAATGTCTGGAAGATGGCCAGTCAACCCAGTCTAATTACCATATTGCCCTTTTATTAGTATAGACTAGAGGCCCAGTGCATAAAAATTTGCACTGAAGGGGTGTACCTCCGTCTGGCCTGCTCCCTTTCACAGTCTAGGAGCCCTTAGAGGAGGGTGACAACCCGGCGATTAGGGGAAGGTGATGCTCCAACACACCTCTGCTGCTGCCACTGCTGGCAGCTCAAGCCTCACCCAGCCCTGGTTACCTGAGCCTGGAGCGGCCCTGGGCAGCTGGGCAGCTGCCATCCTAGGCTTATCTGCCTCGGGCTGGCCCTGGGCAGCTGGGGAGCTGAGGGGACTGGGCCCCGCCATCTTGTGACTATGGGTGCTGCCATCTTTGAGGGTGGGGAAGTCAATTAACATATTCCCTCCTTATTGGCTGTGGGCACTGCCATCTTTGTGATTGTGTGAGGGTCAATTAGCATATTTCCTCTTTATTAGATAGGCTAGATTACATAGAATAGGATTGCTTAAATTGGGGGGGTGGGGGAAGCCTTTTTCAGCAGGAGGAGATGCTCTTGGCAGACAAAAATATATAATCCCTATATCTGGACTGATAGCCAGCCATATGCACTATACTGCCAAACTAGTCATTAAAAAAATAGAACCATTTTCTTACACTTTACACCAAACAGCTGTTGCCCTTAAAACCACTCCTCAGCCCCCACCTTAGAGTCTGCCTTCGTAGTTCACCCAGATTAGGTTCTGATCGGTCAGCTTCTATGCCAGTGTCAAAAGCTTCACCTCCTAGGCAGCCATTGGCCCCTTACAACTCACCCAGATTTGGTTCTGATTGGTCAGCTTCTATGCCAGTTAGCATCTCCGGACCTATCTCCAGGCCTGATCAGAGTAGCGGGGCTGATCAGCAGCCCCTGCAACTCCTGGCAAGGCCCAGAGGGAAAGAGAGGCAAGGGCTGATCAACAGCTACCATGGAGGCTGTAGATCAGACCCTGCTTCTCTCTCCGGGCCTCTCTCCGGGCTGGATCCGCAGCCCCTTTGGCAGTCAGTGCTGGGTCACTGCAGAGTCTGCTGCACATCAGTCAATGCTGGGGCACCACGGCAACCCAGCACTGACTGCAGGACTGGCTTCCTGGTGTTTGCTCGTTTTGATGTTACTGACCCTGGCTGTGTGTGTGTGTGTGTGTGTGTGTGTGTGTGTGTGTGTGTGTGTATTAGAGGCCCAGTGCACAGAATTTGTGCATGGGATGGGAAGGGGTTGTGTCCCTCAGCCCAGCCTGCACCTGTTCAATCTAGGACCCCTCAAGAAATGTCTGACTGCCTGTTTAGGCCCAATCCTGGATGGGGCCTAAACAGACAGACATCCCTTCCACAATTCAGGACTGCTGGCTCCCAACTGCTCGCCTACCTGCCTGATTGCCCCCAACCACTTCTGTCTGCCAGCCTGATCATCTCTTAACCACTCCCTTGCCAGCTGGTCACCCTAACTGCCCTCCCCTGCAGGCCTGCTTCCCAACTGGCCTCCCTTGCAGGCCTGGTTTCCCCCAACTGCCCTCCCCTGCCGATCTAGTCATCCCTAACTGCCCTCCTCTACAGGCCTACTTCCCCCTCCTCCCCCCCCCGCCCCGCAATTGCCCTCCCCTGCAGGCCTGATTGCCCCCACTGCCCTCCCTTGCAGACCTGGTCCCTCCCAATTGCCCTTCCCTGATTGCCCACAACTGCCTTCCCCTGTCAGCCATCTTGTGTTCACATGGGGGCGGCCATCTTATGTGTTGGAGTAATGATCAATTTTTATTAGATAGGATATACATATTTTTTAAGATATTTTTAAAGCGATTTTGTTATGGCTGGTGACTTGGAGTGCTGTCCCATATTCCAAAAGGTAATGGGTTCAATTCCAGGTCAGGGCACATACTTAGGTTGTAGTTTGGTGCCAGGTTAAGGGTATATACAGGAGGCAACTGATCAATGTTTCTCTCACACGTCTTTCTCTTTCCCTTTCTAAAATCAATAAATATCCTCAGGCAAGGATTTTTTTTTTAAGTGGTTATTACCTCTGAGAAGTGGGATTGGTGTAGATGGCAGGAAAAATCACGTTTATTTTTTATTTTCTACCTACCTAAATTATTAAAAAATTTTAATCCAGCTACATGCACTAAAATTCAATTGCTTTTAATCCTAAAAAACATTAGGACTGGCAGCCTAAAATATAACACTGTAGGAAAATCTCAGATTATAAAAACTCAGGTATAAGAACTCAACAATGATTTGAACTAAAAGGCCACCTGTACTAATAAAAGCCTAAGTGGTCCTCATGCCCTCACGTGATGCCCGCATGTCGCCACAAGGTGGCTGGTAGGGGAAGGCAGTTGGGGGTGAACTGGCCGGTAGGGGAGGGCAGTTGGGAGCAACTGGGCCAGCAGGGGAGGGCAGTTGGGAGCGACTGGGCCAGCAGGGGAGCAGTTAGGTGTCAAACAGGCTGGCAGGAGAGTGGTTAGAGGGCAATCAGGCTGACAGGCAGCAGCAGTTAGTAACCAGCAGTCCCAGATTGTGAGACAGGGCCTAACCCGGCAGTCAGACATCCCCCCAGGGGTCCCAGATTCGAAAAGGTATAAGCCAGGCTGATGGATACCTCTGCCGCTCCTCCCCCCCCCCCCCCGCACACAAATTTCATGCACCAGGCCTCTAGTTTTAAATAAAGGCATAAACTTATTGAGCACTACTGAATACAGCAAGAATCAATTAAAGAGGTTTATAGTTACAACTTGGTGATTTAGACAAAAAAAAAAAATGTTTAGTATTTTCTATTTAAAATGGCAAAGATTAACTTTAAAACTATTCTTTTTAAAATATATATATATTTCTTTATTGATTTCAGAGAGGAAGGGAGAGGGGTAAAGAGATAGAAACATTAATGATATGAAAGAATCATTGATTGGCTGCCTCCTGCATACCCCCTACTGGGCATGAGCCCTTGGCTGGAACACTTCAGTCCACAGGCCTACACTTTATCCACTGAGCCAAACCAGCTATGGCTTTAAAACTATTATCCCAAGTAATATAACAAATAAATGTGGCCTTTAAAGTATATCGGATTCTGGACAATTCAACTTTGGACACAAAAATAAGAAGTTATTATGTATATTTATGAATAACATATGATGATCCAATACTTTAACATATTTGTTTTTAAAATAATATAATTAAAATAAGTAATCCTTAAAATTATTATAGTAATAGTATGACACCAAGGTAATAATATTTTAATAAAAGTTTTACATTTTTGGAACAACTTATTGCATACGCTGTACATGATATAGCAAACAAGAGGAAGAAGACTGAGACAGCCTTCCTACAAATTATTTAAGGTATATTTCTTTTTACTATTTACTCAGAACATATTCCTGTCACATATTCTTTTGGTATTCTTCTAGATTGTTTTACAAAAGCGTAAAAACTGAAAATTTCATATAAAAAAGTTTTTTTACCTGGGTATTTAAAAAAACAAGTATTCAAATGAAATAAAAAGGTGCTCTATTTACCAATGTGTATTGCAAAGAAATAGTTAAATACTTTAATATTTAGAAAAACATCAAGAAGTCGGGTTTCCTAATGGCTGCTACATGTTTAAGTTGGTAATTCAAATTTTATTTATAATTTTTAAATTATACATACCATAGGTATAAAAGTTTTAAAAAATATATTCCAATTTAATAAAACAAAAGGCTTTTAAATGTACATTTGCAAACACTGCTGTGATTGCTATAATGACTACCCTGTAGATATACTTAGCCAAAATAAGTTAATTTTTTAAAATCAGTAACATGTAGTATGTTGGCAAGATTTTTTAGAAACAAATATGAGTGATTATAAAGTAGTTATGAATGTACTATTACAAATAAATATGTTTTATGCATAATTACTTTTTTTAAAAAGCAGAACTTAAATATGCATAGAATAGGTGAACATTTTTATAACCTTAGTCACCAGTGCAGAAATCTGGGCACTTAATCCTTTCAGTTAGAGGATTTCACTTTAAAAGATGACTTCTCGCTGGGGATATTGTGACTTCCTGTGAACCAAATAGAGTCTACTATCTCTACTCAGATGCATCTATAATAGTATTTTGCTTCATGTGTTTCTATGCAATTCCTCCTTTGACTTAACTGTTCTTTCCCTGAAAATAACATTCTTAAGCTAATGATTTTGGCCTCATGACATATATTTTAAAGATACATGTGATTCTGCAACCAATCCTTCCCCTTATTAATACCTACACATATATGCACTTATAAATATATACATATTTTCAGGATTATAAAAATATTTAATTTCCATAAGCTTAAATAATTACTGTTAATACAGAATACATTAATATTTGTATACTTTTACTTTCATTTACAAAAAGGTTCTTATATAGCAGCATTTGCATTGCAAATGAAATGTGATCAAGTGGTGTTGCAGTGTACTTATACTGCAAATCCAATTGAGCAGCTGCAATATTCCTCTAAAAGGAACATCTGTTTCAGCTACAGAAGAGCAGTTCCTATAAAATACAAAAATTGTGAGGGGCTAATAAGTTATGTGAATGCTGTAAGTGCATTTAAAGTTATCTCCAAAGAATTGGCAAGATTTATTAAAATATACCCAAGTCCAAGTTATCTTTACCCCAAGTAAAATTTTCTAATAAGTAAAAATTATATTAGTGAATATGAGTGTTTTTAATCGAATCACATTAACTTATTAGAAATTAACTGAAGGCTTCAAGAATAAAAAATAAATAAAAACATCCCTTGTGAGAAAGATTTGAAACTTTAAACATTATGAAAAAACAAAAATTCTCAAACACTCATACTAAGCTTGTTTTTGTTGAGCTCACGCTCCAGATTTCCAATCAATGTATCAATACTTTCTTGTAGATCTTTGAGATTGACTTTTCGATCCACTGTAGACTCAATTGTCTGCATTGTCAAATATGTCTGAAATGTGCACTCTTTGGACAAGGGAATTGGCTGTTTAATCATTATATCAGGTCCATACATTTTGCTGCAGTTTTTTCCATCTTCTGAAGGGACATCATCATAATCCACATCATTTAAATTTTCTTTTGTATTTAAAAAGTAGTTTTCTCCACAGCTGCTCCAGTCTCCTGCATAACGATTGCTAAGTGGACTGTCTAATCTGGTTTGCCGTGGCCGAAGTACTCTTGATGAATCAGCACCACTCAAATTTAACATCTGAGGTCGTTCCTTCTTCTTCCTCAAATAATTCAGAGAAGACTTCTGTTCTGGCGATTCTTTGACAGTTAAACGCTGCACTAGAAACAAACAATAAATCTGCTTTGGTGATAGTAATCCAGCTGGCCTTTAAAAAACAGAGCTAAAGATAAGCCACTTATTAACTACAAACATGCATTAAAACAAAAACATGCACACTATCAAAGAAAGCATTCCATAATTATTTTTTCTATCACCAGACATAATCAAGAATAGGGACAGTGCTAGTAGAATGTACAGTGGTGCTAATTCATGCCACATCATAACATCCCCAAACAAATCAATTTCCAATGTTGATTAACTTCTGTTAATTATTATCTAGCCGTAATTCAAACAGTAGCTAAGCTAGTAGCTTCTTCTAAATTAAAAGCTACAGCAAAAAGCAGGCAAGGCATGTTGATGTACAAACAAACAAAACAAAACAAAACAAAACAGAAAGTTCCTTCGTCTGCAAACGTCTAAAGGCAAGGCATCTAAAGTGCTCACTCTAAAAGTTCTGACCTATTGCTTCTTTGCAATTCTATTAGCAGCAGTGTCATAAGTTACTTTACCAAGCAGCCCCAATTTTACTTTGATAAAATGCATGAATACTAGACTTGACTACATGTTACCTGGGTTTGATAATACGGCATTAGCTACTAAGAGTCTTCATTTATTGCCTGAAAATAGTACAGATATTTTATTTTCCCATTTTGGTTAGGTATCTAACAATCTCAAATAACATTCCTCATAGTAAGATTAAAGTCTCCTAAGGGTATGCATTCTGCTGGCTGTACAGATTACCACAAAGTCACACATTATTCCATAATAAACCACTTACTCTTTTGTATATATTGAACAGAACATTTGTCTGAAGCTCTTCTTTATGTAAATCAAACTTAATTTAAATATTGAAGCATAGCTATTAAAACCTGTCCATAATACCTCTCTTTCTGCTTGTTTATTCTCGCTTACATCTATATTTCCCATCTCTAAGGTAAAGGGAACATATCATTATCAATAACGCAGCAACTTTGTACTCTGCAACCTGTCAAGTTGCTACATTCCTATTGTATAAAATAAAATGATTGAAAAATAATACAAACATGCATATGGTCCTAGTTTCCCAGAATTACAGTATTATAGCATTTTTCAGATAATATTTTTACTTAGATTTTATTAAAATACTTGGTAACTGTGTATAGATATGTTCTTTAACATGTCTGTTTATCTGCATTTTTATTGTGGTTATTATACATCATGATGAATAGGTAAAAGCTCTTTACCTAAAATTTTCTAGAAACTAAAGGTCTGGTATTAAAATTGATCTCTGACAACAGTATTAATAAAGAATGTCCCATGCCATTAACTGATGTAATGGCAGAATGGACATCTGAATTTTTCCACTGTTTAGTTGTTCATATCGCTTTTCTTGTCTAGCTTCTTATCTCCACTAAGTTTCCTTGCTCATCCCTCTTCATTTTCTGTGCTATTTCTGTTCTGACTGCTTACGTGCCATGCCTATTGTTTTTATCAACCTATTACAATATTCGGCTTACCTTGAGGTCACCTGGTTTGTGATCCAAAACAAAGTAAAACATTTCTGACTCTGTGTCTTACTTTTCTGGCATTCCCCTGGAAACCCTATATGTATTTTACTAATCAAATCCTATTCAAACATTATTTTTGTATATTTCTTGGGAAATATTTAAGAAACTGATTATAATGATAGTCATATCTTTTAGACTAAAAATACAATTTCTGAAAAATTAACCTCATTAGCTTCTTAAACTACTGATGGTGGAATGGTTTCCTATTAATTATGCCAAGAAAATGGCTAATTTTATTTATTTATTCTTATTATGTTATTTTTTTTATTTCAGAGAGAGGAAGGGAGAAGGACAGAGAGATAGAAACATCAATGATGAGACAGAATCACTGATCGGCTGCCTCCCTCACACCTTCTACTGGGGATCAAGTGGGAAACTAGGCCATGTGCCCTGACCGGGAATTGAACTGTGACCTCCTGGTTCAAAGGTTGATGCTCAACCACTGAGTCAAACTGACTTGGCGAAAATGGCTAATTCTAACCACCCCAAAAAAGTTCTAGTTTTCCCAGCACTGCTGACTACCCACTTCAACAGAATAAATTTTATTTATTTTTGTTCTTTATTTTTTTTTATTGATTTTAGAGAAGAAGGAAGATATAGAAACATCAATGATTAGAGAGAATCACTGATGGGCTGTGTCCCGCAGGCCCCACACTTGGGATGGAGCTCGCAACCCAGGCATGTGCCCTGACAGGGAATTGAATCATGACCTTCTGGTTCATAGGTTGATGCTCAACCACTGAGCCATACTGGCTGGGCAACAGAATAAACTTTGGAGCAATAGAATGAAAAGTTTCACAATGTAATGATAAGTACTGAGAAACTTTTCTTATCTTGTTTTCTACTAAAAGTTTATATCTTTAATCACCACTTTATTAGCCTTTTATCTACAGTGCAATTGACTAATTTAACAAAATGCATTGTCTAGTTAGTGCCAAGCACTGTGTTAGGACTTGGGAATATAAGTAATGAAGCTTTGTCTAGTGAGAAAAATTTAACAAAAAGGATTAGGGAAAAATCAATGGCTTTTCAAAAAAAAAAACCTCTCCCAAATCTACTCATCATAGAATATGTGATATAGCAAATAGTTGGTCTGGAGTTACACTCTGTCTAAAGCTATTTCCCCACCTATATAGTGAAAGAGTGGCCTATCAATAATTTTCAATATTCTTCTTAAAACAGCAAATGTATTTTTAAAAAGCAACATTTTTTTTTAATCTACGGTATTAAAGAAAAGGTGAAAAGAAGACTGTTTTGGTCAAAAAGAGAAGTGTGTTTCCATTTTGTTCCCCAACATGTTACCAATCTGGCCATGAAGCTGTTTCCAAAGAATAGAGCTTTGGCAGAAGAAAAGCTGAAAACCACCGGCAAGATGATTTACCTTCCAACGCCAATCGGCCAGGGTTCTGACCACTTTGAAGAGATTTATCAAATGGAAAGCTCAATGGAAATTATAATCTTCCCCAAAATGGAAAAAAAAAAACAAAAACAAAAACCCCCCACAAAACAAAAAGTGAAAAAAGCAAAAAGAAAGGGTGGAACCAACTCTTTTTACCTCTGGAGTAGGGGAAATTCCAAAAAGACAAATGAGATATGCAAGGCAAAGAGCCCAAACCTTCTATTGCATGTATGACGGGCATTCACCAAGTTCACATGCTATGACCCAGTCTCTTTGTCACCATCAATTTTCTCAGGCTCAGTAACTGTCTTACATCTACTTGACTTCTGCCTTTTCTTGAATCCAAAAATAATGATTTAGAAGGCAAAACTAACTGCTGTTTCCTCTCATCTTTCTACCCTATTCTGTCCTTTGTCTGAGATGGTATAACTAAAGAAAAATAAAAGATTATAGAAAAGGGAGAAGTTATTCCTAAATCCAACAATACAGATCTCTGCAATAAGGTATTAATACACTAGGAGTCAGTTGTTTAAGGATATCATTGAAATACAGTGAATCTGAAATCTATACCTGCTTTTTCTGTAACAGAGGATGTAATTTAATTTTCACTTCTACACCCAGAACTAAGTTAGCTATCACAAAATAATAAAATGACATTAACCTCTGGTACAGAATTAATGATAAAGGACTCAGGTACTGACAGTAATTTAATGTATCTCCAAGCACGTAAGTTTACATGTGCGATTAGAATGATAAGACAGCTTGACCGGCGTGGCTCATTAGTTAAGCAATGACCTATGAACCTGAAGGCTACTGTTCAATTCCCAGTCAGGGCATATGCTCAAGTTGTAGGCTTGATCTCAAGTGTGGAGGCAGCTGATCAATGATACTTTCTAATCATTGATGTTTCTACCTCTCTATCCCTCTTCCTTCCTCTCTGAAATCAATGAAAATATTTATATATTTTTAAAAATAGATAGCTCTTCTCCAAATTCCTGATGTTTATTAGAATTAAAGCAGTTTTAGGAAAAGCTAAGAAACCCGCATTTAAAACTTTAACCTGAATGATTCCTTATTTTGGGGTACCAAATACAGTATTCAGACCAATTGTACAGAAAATCTTGACTCAGATTTTAAAATAATAATACATACTAATTCAGTTGAAATGTCAACTAGAAGTTATTTTTAAGTCTGTGTTTAAAGAAAGCAAATTTTTTTTTTTTTTTATGAAGCAAATAATTTATTCTACAACAAAGGACATTTATACAGTTAGAACAGAGTGGCTTGAGTCCTGAGCTGTGAAGACAGGCAGATGTAGTCCTGTCTTGGCTAGCTAATAGCTATATGCCCTTGGACAGGCTACTAATTAGACCTCCTTCAACCTCAGTTTTCCTTATAAAGAAAGCAAAAATTTTAACTTCCCAAATTTAAAGCTGAAACTTTTTATTAGCTTACATTTTAATTCACTTTTAAAAATTAGATTTAATTTAAAAGACTGAATCAGCATTCCTTTGTACTTTAGTCTCTTCTTTTCATCTATGTATATAAAAGCTCAGAGACTGTTAAGGCAGAATGACCAGACTGACCCTTTGCTATAATGCACACTGACCACCAGGGAGCTGATGCTCAACATAGGAGCTGCCCCCTGGTGGCCAGTGTGCTCCCACAGTGGAAGTGCTGCTCAGCTGACGAGGATGAGTGGCTGCTGAGCAGCACTTGGCTGACCAGGATGAGTGGCTGCTCCTGCAGTGGGCCGATCTCATAGGCCACACCCCTCACCAGTGCACAAATTCATGCACTGGGCCTTTAGTTTGTCTATAAGAGAGTAACAGTGCACATTTACCGAGGGCTAATGTTATGCCAAACCCTCTGTTCATTGCCTTAAATGCTTTATCTCAATCAGCACAACCCTGAGGTAAACACTATTTACAGAGAAGGAAACAGGTCTCAGGAAACTGAGGTATTTGCCTCAGCCCACACTGTGGGTGAGTGCCACAATCCAAATCTGGACCCATGCCTGACTCCAGGGCTGAACACTTTCACCTCCATGCCTTCCACTAGGCATCTAAGTACTGTGCAGTGTTGAGAAGTGAAGCAAGGGTTATTTCAGGATAAGAAAATTTTGGAACTTAAATATGGGATCCTTTATGGAACATCTAATTAAATACATATTCCTTTTAGCATTGAAACTATACAAGAGATACATGAGGACAATAACTGCCAGCATTTTGTTATTGACTGCTTCAAGGGATGGATAAGAAAGCTAAAAAGATCAGAGATAACTATCAATTCAAGTACCTATTATCTGCCAAGAACTCAGAGACTGTTAAGGCATAATGACCAGAGCACTTACATACATAATTTTTAACTTAATCCTCCTAAATCCCTATGACAAATAGTGATACTGAGACTCTAAGATATTAAGGAACCTACCTGCTCAAGGTCAGACAGCTAATAAGTGACACAGCCAGATTCAAATCCAAATTGAACTAAATCCAAAATGTGTAAATTGATCTATATGTCTATCATATTATCAGCAAGAGCAGAAATATTAAACTGAGAAATCTAAAGGGCAGGTATCAATTCATAAATATTTCCAAAAGCAAAATCTAAACAAGGTGTTCTTCTGTCACATATGAGTATATTTCATTGTCAACGAATTAAAATAGCCTACCATTAAAAGAGAAAAATATTTCCGTAGAATCATTTACCTGGCCAGAGCTGAAGTAAGTAATGAAGAACTTCAATGTGTTTTTTAAAGTCCAAAGCACTTGCAAGTTCCTCTGAATCGGTAAAGACTCTGTTGTTGTGGTTGGAAGTCTCTTGCCTCTGACTTAGTAATACTGGTCCAAAGCACACAGCCAAGTTCTGGCAGGTCATCTTATTCACTTCATGGTAAGAAGCCACCAATTTCAAATGATCCAACAACATCTTTAGTGTTGCCTAAATGAAATGAAATTACATTTCACCTAATATAGTTACTCAAGGGGAAATTCAAGAGCACAGTGTTCAGCAGAAAACATAGACAGGCATCCTGTTACTCTTAAAAGGTTATTTCATGAACAAGCAAGACAAATACTCATAGGCACAGACAACAAAACGGTGGATTCCAGAGTGAAGAGAGGATAGGAGAAGGTAGTAATGGGTAAAATGGGTCAAATGTACAGTGACAGAAGAATATTGGACTGTGGGTGGCAAACACACAATGCAATATACATATATTAATAATGTGTCATGGGATTGTACACTTGAAATCTATGTGATTTTATTAACCAATGTCACCCCAATAAATTTAATTTTAAAAATAGAACCTCCCCCCCAAAAATAAAAAGTTATTTCAAAGACTTGCTTATAAGTTGGATGTTTGAAACTTGAAACATTTTATTATAGAAATGTTATACAAAACCCTTAGATACCAATAACATAATTGGATCCATTAAGTGGTTAAAATATATACTCTTTATAAAATGTTCATGAATGAATTCCAAATTTCAGCTGGAATCCCTGGGTAAATATATATGCAGCATTTTCCTCTCTTCCCTCCTCTAAAATGACAATACCAAAAAGGATATGATGGAAACTGGAGTAGAGTAGGTGTGTTCATTTAAAAAAAAAAAAAAAATATATATATATATATATATATATATATATATATGATTTTAATTTTGAAAATATATATATTATTGATTTTCTACATAGAGAAAAGGAGAGGGATAGAAAGCCAGAAACATCGCCGGGACCGGTTTGGCTCAGTGGATAGAGCATCGGCCTGCGGACTGAAAGGTCCCGGGTTCGATTCCAGTCAAGGGCATGTACCTTGGTTGTGGGCACATCCCCATTTGGGGGTGTGCAAGAGGCAGCTGGTCGATGTTTCTCTCTCATCGATGTTTCTAACTCTCTGTCCCTCTCAATTCCTCTCTGTGTAAAATCAATAAAATATATTAAAAAAAGAAAGAAAGAAAGAAAGAAAGAAAGAAAGAAAGAAAGAAAGAAAGAAAGAAAGAAAGAAAGAAACAAACAAACAAACAAACAAACAAACAAACAAACATTGATGAGAGAGTAACATTGACCAGCTGTCTCCTGCACACCTCCTACCAGGGATGTGCCTGCAACCAAGGTACATGCCCTTGACCAGAATTGAACCTGGAACCTTTCATTCTGCAGACCGACGTTCTATCCACTGAGCCAAACCGGTTTCGGCAGCGTGTTCATTTTTAAGCACAGATAAATCCTGCAGTCGAAAGTGGGGTATTATCTAGGAACATTTCAGAGAGTGGCCAGGTTCTACTGTGATCTAGATTAGGAAAATGATCAACATGCTTCTTAACTAATCAATATTTTAAGTGACAAACCATGGAAAAGGGAAAATGTCTAGAGTTAGAAATTAAAGCAAATTTATTTAAAAAAGGGTTTTTAATCTTTGAAGAAAATAATTTCATAGAGGCAATTTGCTCAAGAAATGGAATGGTTATTTAGGTTTAGGCAATAATGAAAAGAAACCATGTGTTTTGTTTTGTTTTTTTGAAGTAGTGGTATTTAATCAATCTTTTAACAAATAAAATGAGTGTGTGATGTCTTCTTCATAATTGTCCTGAAGAAATAAATTCCAACTAACACTGTAATTTAAAAAACAACAACAGAAAAAACAAAGTTATATGTTATTTCTGGAGCTCTAAGTAACACTTGGGTTTGGTGATTAGAAGGTCATTAGTAACCTTAGCAAGAACAAGTCCACAGAGAAGGGAGAGGAAGCCAGATTGCAATGTGTTGAGTAATAAATGAGTGGTGAAGAAGCGATGACAGTTGAAACATTCCTTCAGTGTCTGGCTGTGAAGGGAAAGGATTAAGAGAGTATGAGAGCCAGAGAAGACATAAACTGATATTTTGAACTTAAAGTCTGACACACACACACACACACACACACACACACACACACACACACACACACACAAGCACAACTGGCTTGCCCTAGCTGCTTTGGCTCAGCAGATGGAGCATCAGCCTGGGGACTGAAGGGTCTTAGGTTCCATTCCAGTCAAGGACACATACCTCGGTTGCAGGCTCCTCCCCAGCCTGGGTCCGAATCAGGAGGCAACCAATCAATGTGTTTCTCCCACATCAATATTTCTCTGTCTTTCCCTCTCTCTTCCACTCTCTCTAAAAATCAATGGGAAAATATCCTTGTATGAGGATTAAAAGAAAAAAGCACAACTGCTAAAAATATTAGGTTCAATCTCAATGGAAATCCAAAAAATTCAACTTAAAATTAAAAACCTATTTTGTCTATTAAATAAGATGAGCTAAAAAGAAACTGTTTTTTGTCTGGCCAGCGTGGCTTGGCGGTTGAACATCAACCTATGAGCCAGAAAGTTGAGGTTCAATTCCGGTCAGGGCACATGCCCAGGTTATGGGCTCAGTCTCCAGTGTGGGGCGTGCAGGAGGCAGATGGTCAATGATTCTCTCTCATCACTGATGTTTCTCTATCTTTCTTCCTCTCTGAAATTAATAAAAATATATATATTTTAAAAATAACTGTTTTGGCCGAAACCAGTTTGGTTCAGCAGTAGAGCGTTGGTCTACAGACTGAAAGATCTGACCTTGACCGGTTTGATTCCGGTCAAGGGCATGTACCTTGGTTGTGGGCACATTCCTGGTAGGGGGTGTGCAGGAGGCAGCTGGTCGATGTTTCTCTCTCATCGACGTTTCTAGCTCTCTATCCCTCTCCCTTCCTCTCTGTAAGAAAAGTCAATAAAATATATATATTTTTAAAAATAACTGTTTTGTACCTTTTAAAAAGTAATATAAAAACATGTATTAAGAGCCTTGAAATGTTCACATCCTTTCAAATAGCAATTCTACTCAGAGCCTCATACAAATAAGTAATTGTAACTGGAAAGAAATATGTGAACAAATATATATTATACAAATAGGTTCAAAACCTAAATATTACTCAAGAGATTATGATATATTATGTCAAATCCACTCAATGGAATATTGCACAACCTTTTTTAGAAAGAATGTTAATAGTCTAAGAGCCAGAAAGACCTAAATTCATGTGACAAAATTACACTCATAAAAACTATCTAGCCTTGGGCAAGTGATTTAAATTTTCTGACACTGCCAAACCGGTTTGGCTCAGTGGATAGAGCTTTGGCCTGCGGACAGAAGGGTCCCAGGTCTGATTCCCGTCAGAACATGTGTCTTGGTTGTGGGCACATCCCCAGTGGGGGGGTGTGGAAGGCAGCTGATTGATGTTGCTCTCTCATCGATGTTTCTGACTCTCTGTCCCTCTCTCTTCCTCTCTATAAAAAAATGAATAAAATATATTTAAAAATAATAATAAATATTTTTCTGACACTTATTTTTTTCTTACATGTAAACTGTCGCATAATTATACCTTGTATTTGTGTGGGAATATTTCTAGCTTTAACCTCACCCTTCTGCATCTGCTCACCTCTTTCTAACTGCTCCCATCCCCCACAGAAAGAAGTAGTAATTGCTAATCTAATGGGACAGGGCACAGGTTGTTCAGAACCCAGTGAATGAAGCTATTGGGCTTAACTTTCTACTCACTAACTCTTGACCATTCTGCCCTCACAAAAGAAATATAGGCAAGCCGAAACCGGTTTGGCTCACTGGTAGAGTGTCGGTCTGCAGACTGAAAGGTCCCAGGTTCGATTCCGGTCAGGGGCATGTATGTTAGTTGCGGGCACATCCCCGGTAGGGAGTGTGCAAGAGGCAGCTGGTCGGTGTTTCTCTCTCATTGACGTTTCTAGCTCTCTATCTCTCTCCCTTCCTCTCTGTAAAAAATCAATAAAAATATATTTAATATATTTAATATAGGCAAGCCCTATATTTATCTGGACAAGCCCAAGCACATGTTTTCCCCTTATTTTTTTTCTTTTGTTATAAGAAACAACCACTATAGGTAGGTTAAGACTGTTCTGCATACCCAGCCATCCTCCCACCTATCCTGCAGGCACACCTGAAGATACTGGTCCCAAAACTTAAATTGTGGCAAGGGCACTAATGGGAAGAGGCAAGGAGAAAGGAAATGGTGGTGAAGACTGCTTAAGTCTTAAGGCTAAGCACCAAAACAGTTATCATATTTTTAAAATACTAAAAGGAAATAAGTAAAAATGTTAATAGTTGCCTTTGGGCCAAAACTGGTTTGGCTCAGTGGATAGAGCGTCGGCCTGCGGACTAAAGGGTCCCGGGTTCGATTCTGGTCAAGGGCATGTACCTTGGTTATGGGCACATCCCCAGTGCTAGAGGCAGCTGGCCGATGATTCTCTCTCATCGATGTTTCTAACTCTCTATCCCTCTCTCTTCCTCTCTGTAAAAAGTCAATAAAATATATATTTTTTTAAAAATAGTTGCCTTTGGGTTTTGATAATTATAACTTTCCATTCTTCTTTTCTATATATTCCCAAGTATCCTATCTAATAAAAAAGTAATATGCAACTCCAACACACAAGATAGCTGCCCCCATGTGGACACAAGATGGCCACCACAAGATGGCCAGCAGGGGAGGGCAATTGGGAGGGACCAGGCCTGCAAGGGAGGGCAGTTGGGGGTGATCAAGGGAAGGGCAGTTAAGGGTGACCTGGCTGGCAGAGGAGGGAAGTTGGGGGCAACCAGGCCTGCAGGGAAGGGCGGTTGGGGGGAACCCAGGCCTGCAGTGGAAGGCAGTTACGGGCAAACAGGCTGGCAGGGGAGCAGTTAGACATTAATCAGGCTGGCTGGGGAGTGGTTAGGAGTGATCAGGCTGGTAGGCAGAAGTGGTTAGTGGCAATCAGGAAGGCAGGCCAGCCAGCAGTTGGGAGTCAGGAGTCCTGGATTGTGAGAGGGATGTCCAACTGCCCATTTAGCCCTGATCCTACTGGGTCCCAGATTGAAGAGAGTGCAGGCTGGGCTGAGGGACACACATCCCCATGCCCCAATTTTGTGCACCAGGCCTCTAGTTTATAATAATAAAAGAGTAATATGCTAATTAGACCTGACATCATCCCAGACATCCTTCTGGACGAAACCAGGCTAAAGCAAAGCCTGGGTCCCAGGTGCCTGCCAGTGACCAGAAGCCGCCCAGGTCCCGGGTGCTGGCAGCAGGGGAAAGGAAGGCCTACTCTTGCATGAAATTTTGGGCGTCAGGCCTTTAGTTCTACAATAAACTTATATTAATAACAAGATAACAATACTCTTTAAAAACTTAGGAGAATATTTATGCCTAAAGATAAAATCATATACAAAAAGATTTTTTAAAAAATTCTAAATGTATTCTGTTTAAGAAGCAATTTCTAGATTTATGGTGTTTAAGAAGCCATGATCTCACTCATTTTTGGAATCTAAAGAACAAAATAAACGGCTGAACAAATTAGATCCAGAGCTATAGTAACATGGAACAGACATTCAAACCTCAGAGGAAAGGCAGGGAGGGTAGATAGGAAGAGATTAAGAGAGATTAAACCACAAATGTCAAAATAGCTAAAAAATTATTTGCAGCTCTGGAGCTAAGTATAATATATAATTCATTACATGGCTTTCAGGAGAAATGAACAGTGGTTAAGCTCACCTTCTCAACATCAGGCAGGCAATCCAACAGGTCCACTGTGTACTTAGAGTCACTTGGATCATTCTCACAACTGTTTGATGACATTTTCAGGGGATTTTTAGCCATTGTGTCTAATACAGCCTCATAAAGCTGTTTTGTTATCAGTGGAGAAGGAAGTTCTCTTAAGTAATCCTTAAGAACACCTTCAGAAAACAAACCAGAGACAAGTGGCAGTTAGTCTTCAAAGTGAAATAAAAAACTGTGGTGATTGTTTTTTTTAATCCAAGTATTATACAGCCAACTTTTAATATTCTGAAAATAATAAAAGCAATAATTTTTAAGAGTATTATAACAAAATAGTATTCTTACTAATTGCTTCATTAACTGACATTTTGTTTTGAAAGCATGATAAAAATGCACATATAATTTCCAATTATCATACATATTAGGTTTGTTCCTCATAAAATAAGTCATTTGATACATATATCCTATTGATTCTGCCCTCTCATAAAAAGCTACTCTAAGTGCGTGTGAAAGTTAAGAAAGCAAGACATTAATATTAATCCTAAATGATTCCAATTATATGAATTTTGAATTTCTAGACTTTTAATTGATAGTGAAAGAGTACCAATGACCCAAAGCCCTTGCAAATAACTGAACTATACAGAACATATGTCTTAAACGTAAGTCCTGGATAATTGGATTAACCCTAAGGCTACTGTGGAAGAAAGCCATTCCTAAAACCGAACAAATGAAGCCAAAAACCAAGAACAGAGAAAGCACCAGACTTGTCACAATAATAGGAACGAACTTGATTTCAAAGGCAATATAAGTGGTTATGACCTAAGAGGTATCTATCACCTGTAGAAGAGGAAACAGGAAAGGGTACTGAATGGTTGTTACACACCAGCAAGCAAGGTAGGATACGAGCTAAAGACAGGAATGTGATCACAAAGAAAAAATAGGTTCCATTGCTAACACCAAAAACCCAAATGCAATAGACAATATTGACTCAGAACACGCTCTGAGCTTAGAATTTAGTTTGAAAACTGAGTGGAACTTCAACGTAGTCATAGAGAAAGCTTCCCATCTGATAGTCTTTTACATATTGAAAGTAATATGGTTCATTAGTTTCTTATGCATCCTTCAGGTGTTTACAAAAATATAAAACACCATATTAACCATATATGTTTATGAAAGTATAAGATGTATTACTACACTCCCCTTTATTACATAAAATATAGCATAGGTGGCCTACTCAGTTATTTGCTTTTTCATTTACCATCAAATGCTTGAAATTTTTTCAGTACACAGAGAGCTTCCTCAAACATTTTACAGTCACATCGGTAATGAACACTGAGAACAGTGTTTCTCAAACTTGGCTGCACAATGAAATGGGTGATATGAGTGATACGGAGTGGGAAAACATTATTTCAACGGATCACGGATGTCCCATTATCAACTGGTACAGATGGATACTTGGGTTGTTTCTTACCTTTATTCTAAAACATGCTTTAATGAATAATCTTGCACATCAATACTTCGTATATGTAGGATAAATTTCCAAAAATGGGGGGGGGGGAAAGGTGTAAGGCTGTTTCCTAGGTTTGGGGTTTTGGCATCTACTGAACAGTAGTGCCATTACTTGAAACAGGAGGAAAAGGAGGAAAACCATGCTTTAAGGGGTAGAAAAGAGTTTTATTTTTGAACATATTAAGCTGAAGGCATCTATGAAACATTGAAAGCTGCTGGATATAAAAATCCAAGCCCAGCCAGAGTGTGGCTCAGTTGTTGAGTGTCAATATATGTTCCAGGAGGTCACTGTTCTATTCTGGTCAGGCAGGGCACATGCCCGGGTTGCAAGCTCGAACCCCAGGGTGGGACATGCAGGAGGCAGCTGACCAATGATTCTCTCTCATCATTGATGTTTCTATCTGTCTCTCCCTCTCTCCCTTCCTCTCTAAAATCAACAAAAAAAAAAGTATTTTATTTTTTCAATCTGAGGCTCAGGAAAGAGATGGCTGGAGACATGGATCTGAGAATGGTCAACTAAAGGTAGTAAGTGGAAGCTTGAGAATGACTGAGACTATCTAAGGAGGCATACTGAGTAAAATAAAAAGACCCTGAAGAAGGCTCTTATTGAGTTGTCAGAAAGAGGATCTCCCAACGGTGACTAAGGAATAATGTCTAAAGAAGTATGAGTGGTAAGAAGAGGTGGCGAGGGGGTGAACGGAGCAAATATGCTGCCGGAGAAGTCAAGGAGAGAACGTTTCAAGAAAGCCTACAGTATCCACTGATACCCAACAAGAGTTAGGTTAGACAAGAACTTTTAAATACTATGGAGAACAGTGTTCCTCAAACTGGGCTGCACAATGGAATAATCTGAGAAACTTTAAAACAATGGGCTCCAGAGCCCTCTGTCAGTCCTACAAAATAAGAATCTCAAGGATCGGGACTCATGTCCCTGTATTTTTCACAAATTCCTGCTGTGGTTCTAAGGCAGCAGGGTTTTATAAAAAGGGATGAGAAACAATGAGATAATCTAAGACAAGGACCAAAAAAATGTACACCCAAGAAGTAAATCAGCAACCTTGGTAAGCATAATTTCAGGACACAGAAGTCAAGCTGCAGTTGGTTAGGAAGTACATGGACGTTAAGGAAATGGAGAAAGAGGGGGAAAGATGGTCAGCCTGCTCCAAAAATCTGGCTTTGAGAGAAGGTGATGTCCACAGAGGAACAGAAAGAACAGGGTGAAGTAAGATTAAGGTAGGGATTATTTTAAAGATGGAAGAGACTTCAACATTTAAATGCTAATGTAAAGAATATATTAAAATGGTTTTTAAGGTTTAGGAGAGAGAAATATAATCAATTGAGCAAAGCACCCAAAAAGAAAGGAAGAGGAGACTCCTGGGAACACACGAGAGAATTAAAATTAGTCCAAAATGTGAGGAAGATCATTTCTATACTGATACAGAAAGGATAGTGGGAAAGTGAAAAGGGATGTATGCCGGGGAAGGCAAGTGGCAAGCTGAGACACAAGAAGTAGAGGAAGTTCCTATCCGATGGCTTTTATTTTCTCTGGGAAGTTAGGGGCAAGGTCATCGCTAAGAGGGACCTGGGTGACACACACGAGATTCGAGGAGCATGAGAAGACATTAAATAGATACTCTAGAGAATGGGGGAAAGGGAAGGAGGAAGAAAAGGAGTGGAGGAAAAGAGGGAGAGAAATAGAATAAGAAAACATAACTATTAGCTATTTTGTTTTAATTTTAGCTTCTTTTGTCTACTGTGTTTACTTCTATCCTCCTTCTGCTTCCCCAATTCCCAACACAAGAATATAGCCTCCATGAGATCAGAAATCTTCTATCATTTGGCCCCTGCGTTCCCAGCACATTAAATGCTCTCTGGTGCATGATCAACTCTCAATTAAACAAATCACTAACCTCAGTTTCTTTCTTAAGAAACAAGAAAAAGGGGAGCATATTATACTCAAAGTAAGCACAAGAAAGAAAAATATAATGATCAGAATAGAAATTAATGAAATAGATAACAGAAACCAATAACAAAAATCAACAAAACCAAAGTTTGGTTCTTTAAAAAGATAGACAAAAAAGACAAACCTTCAACTATGGTCACCAAGAAAAATAAAAGAGAGAAGACTCAACTAAAATCGGGAATGAAAGAGGGAACATCATTACCAACCTCACAGAAACAAAAAGAATTTTAAGTTAATATTATAAACAGCTGTATACCAATAAATTAGATAACTCAGATAAAAGTAAAACACATAGAGAAAAATAAACTAGAAAGTTATTTACGAAATAGAAAATCTGAATAGACTTATAACAAGATTGAATAATTTTAAAACTTCCCACAAAATAAAGCAAACCAAGATAGTTTTACTGATGAACACTAGCAAATATTGAAAGAAGAATTAATACCAATTCTTCATAAACTCTTCCCAAAAATAGAAGAGAGTACACTTTACAACTCACTCTACAAGGCTCCTATTACCCTAATGCCAAAACCAGACAAAGACAGCACACAAAAAACTACAGACCAAAATTTAGGAATATAGACACAAAACTCAACAAAATACTATCACATTAAATCCAGCAAGATATTAAAAAAAAAAAAAAAAGATACATCATGACCAACTGGGATTATCTCAGGAATACAAGGTTGGTTTAATGTCTAAAAACCAATTAATGTAATATATCATAGCAATAAAATAAAGGACAAAAACGTGGTCATTTCAATAGTGAAATGACCTTTCAGAAAGGTCACTGAACAAAATCCAACATCCTTTTATAATAAACTTAGGCTAAAAATTAGTATTTCAATTCTCTTTCCTGCAGATGTAGTCTTTCCAAAATGTGTACATAAAATAAAATCTATTACCTGTTATTACATTTATATCTGGGTACTGGTTTTCACACAGAACAACAGCTTTGCTATCTCTCTCAAAAGCCTCCCGAAGTTCTTTCTTGACTGCTGCCGAACCACATAATCGGTACAGGCCTACTACCTAGAAATAAAATTATGGCCATATTGTGGTAAGTTTGATAAAACGAAAATGTAATTGTACAGTATGTATAAATCCCATGAGCTCAGTCATCAAATATTTTCTGATGGCATGTAATTAAAAATACCTCAAGCACAGCTTTTGAATTTCACCATAGACCACATTAATTAATTTGATAAGAACAATCTACTCTTTCATTTAAATTCAAACAATATACTAAGATTTCTGCAATGCTGACTATCTTAAGCAAAGATACAACCCGTCCCCATTTAGTTTTATATGCTCAACCAATCTCTCCATGCCAAGATCATGCCCTTGACATCTTTTTGGCTCTAGACTGAAATACTACATACAGCACAGTGGTTAAACAGGGTTTTGGATTCATAAAGCCTCATTCTATCCCTCCTTCCTTGATGAATTTGGGCAAGTGATTTAATCCCTTTAGAACTCAGTTGATTTACCCACTTAAAAGTATATAGTTGAGCCTTAAGGCTAGAACAGTCATCTTCCAGTAATTTGCCAAAATGACTAACACAAAGGGAAAGAGGAGAGGCACCTGCTATATGTTCTCCAGGCCTTTTAGAAAACATGGAGCTGTTCCTTTGGCCACATACTTGGAAATCTATAAGAAAGTGATAATGTGGACATCAAGGAAATAGGCGCTGTTCAAAAATAAGTGGCCCACAAATGTCACCAGGGCAAAACTGGAAGAGTCTACAGTGTCACCTAGCATGCAGTGGACATTGGTTGGAAACAAGCAAGTCAAGGATAAGATTCTTGCCAAGAGAATTAATGCATGTATTGCGCATAGTAAGCACCCTAAGAGCTGAGATCGCTTCCTGAAACGTGTAAAGGAAAATGATCAGAAAAAGAAGGAAGGGTTCAACTGAAGCATTAGCCTACTCCACCCAGAAAAGCACGCTTTGTGAGAACCAATGGAAAGGAGCCTGAGCTGCTGGAACCTATTCCCTATAAATTCATGGCATAGTAAGTGTAAAAAAAAAAAAAAAAAAAAAAGATCTATGTACTGATAAAAATGTTTCTCTTTAAAAAACAAAAACAAACCAAAAAAAAAGGATATAGTTGAAACAAGGTTCCAATATTCTATTTGTATAAAATTATCTTCTCAGAAAAAAAAAAAAAAAGGTTCTCAGGAAGAAATAAAAGTACACCTAGGATTTGTTTAAATTAATTGGTTACAGAGTGTTGGAGGAAATGCAATTAAAATAATATATTAAAGGTAAAAGAAAACCTCCAGTTCAAAATGTAAATAAGATGCACAGAAACCTCCCATCCTCTCCTTAACTTACATTAAAAGGGTCTGTTTTTTAAACAGTTAGCTCAGACAGGTTCTAAAATATTACGGCTGAGGAAGTTCATGAGAAAAAAATGAACATGGTATCTGTAAAAAAAAAAAAAAAAAAAAAAAAAAAGCATGCCTGATTAAGCACTCAAAGTTTTTTTTAAAAGAAAAAACCTTCAAGAAAATGAAAGAAAAGTAAGTGTCTGGCACCAACACTTCCATATCAAAGACTATTTAGTAAGTTCAATCACCTTGAAGAAATAATGGATAAAGAAATTATTTCAAGACAGAAATAAAGTAAAAACAAACAATGGAGACCCCTAAGAATTTGAACTAGAAATCACTTTAAAATGTTATAGTCAATATACTTAATGACTTGTTAAATATAATCAATTTGATAAATATTTTTTAAAATAATAAAAATTAAAAATGTTATAAATAATCTAGAGGAAGGAGTGCACAGATGAAATTTCTAGGTTTATTTATGATACTAACCTCTTGTGAGTAATTAGATAACTGACAGAATACGCTATAGAAGGTGGGTCTCAATATAGGAAAGTGCCAATAATGGATACAGAGAAATGTTATCCACAATATTTGAGATGACAAGCTAGTAAGTATTAACTGAAAGATAATAAAGAACCTACAACTATTTCTAAGAGAAGGTAATGTAAGGTGCGGTTATATTCAAAAGGATCAACCTACTGTGGGAAACCAAGTAATGTACTTTGAAGAAAATTCAAATTTCCTACTCTATCCACATTCATAGTGCATTCACATTGAAAAGAGTATGTGCTATGTTGGTCATATCGCTGCAAGAGAAACATGGTATAACTGCAGATGGTCCAGAAAATGAAATTAAAATATAAAACAGAACCAAAGGAAATGCCATCACATTAGGAGAAACTAACTTGAGTAGAGCCCTCCTTGTGTGGGCACAGTAAGTGTCACAAATCCCATAAGGATGTATCCCCTTAAACTTGAGAAAGAGATGAACCTAGAACAAATTAAAGAAAGTACCTGTAATAATACTTCAACAGTAAGTAATAAAGTAATGGAACATGTTATCCCAAAAGCTGAAATTATAAACGTATTTTTAAAGGTGAATAAAGGGAAAAAATCTAATAGAGGTATTTCAATGGAAGGATATTTTATAATATATCCCTAACTTCAGAGGCTGATTTCTTGAATTAAAAACTTGAAGTACATGCTTGATGCCTCTATCAGAGAAAAAATCTGTACTAGATAACACCGAGTGTTATTTCTATAATAATTTTTCCCATTGAAAGAGATGGGTGACAGCAGCCTTCAAAGCATCTGGAAAGTGCCATAGACTATTTTTGCATGACTATTAAAACCTGATTTTCATAGTAAAAACAAAACAAAACAAAAAAAAAAAACGCAAGAAAAATTACTGTTTAAAATGGTATACAAAATTTAAACAGTATGCTAGACTGTAAAATGCAGACAGAACAGCCTCTTTCTGGAGAGTAGCGAGTGAGGAGAAGTAAAAGACACACACACACACACACACACACACACACACAGGTTTAAAAAGTACAGTTCCAAATGTATAACTGTAAAATTTACTTTTTAGCTCACAAAAAATTCTTTTTTAAAAATAAATCTTTCTAAAATTTAAGTATAGAAATTAAAGGTATTGCTAAAAAATGCTTTCTTGGCATTTAAAATAATAAGCTTCAACAATCTTACATAAAATATTTCCAAGAATGGACCATGAAAGTACAGTGCTATTTGAGTTACTTATTTTAACACTCAGTTGTAAAAGTTTGTTTAATAATTACCTTTAAAATCTGACTAATCTCTCTGACCTTTCTATGCATTGCTTGGAAAGAAGAAGAAGAAGACGACAATGACCCTGAAGAAAAAGAAATGGTGGGAAAAAGAGGAGAACTTTCAGAAAAAAGTCACTGGACCAAAAGTTGGATTAGAAACTTGAAGGCTTCACTCCCATCTAGAAAACGTATCACATATCCAGGAAGAGGTTTCAAAAGTTCAGATGTCCTACCTTCCAACTTCAGAAAGCTCCTGCATGTTTTTATAGATAGAAGCGCATAAGACCCACAGAGATTAAATGACTTGCCCAACATCATACAGCTATTAATGAAGGAAAAAAAGAATCCAAGTGCCCTGCATTTTATTACAAAATGCCACTAACTTATGCTGTTTCCATATTTTCTATAGATTCACGGTAGATTATTTTAAATTCCTTTTTTCTCTTTTTATATATAAAGAAGCCTATCTCAGATTTTGTTATACTTACCCTTGACATTTTTAATCAATGTTATAATTTTTGATAGCACCAAAGTAGAAATACCTCAGAGCATAATGATCTTTAGGCTTAATTTGTGTTACAAAAATAAGTATAAATAATTACTTATAAATCAGAACAATATCCTCAGTGATATGCTGTTTCTCGTTGTCACAGTCCATATGAATTAATGAAAATAAAGAAAAATAAGTTCTATTAACTGATTAACATATCTTGTTACAAATAATACCAGGCTTTTTGTTTGTTTTAATGGGTTGCTTTAACCTTTTTATTTAAAAGGAAAAGAGAAAGAGATGTGTTTTTATTAGTGGTACATCTCTTCATTCTCCATGTTTTCCCAAAGTTAAGAGACAAATAAGCTTATGCTTTCCAAAGAATGGGACTCAGGGAGAGTAGGGAATAAGAACAGGGAGTTAATTTTAGGAGTGATTAGCAAGGGGATTAGATTTACTGTTGGACTCTCTACCTCAGGAATCAAACCATGAAGAAACATTACTTAAATTATTTGCCTATGTTATCAGCTCTGGCTTATCCTACAAATGATACTGCAACACAATCTTGATCTTTGGTATAAGGCCCATCAGCTTTGCATGACAACATAAATTGCAGAACTATCTAACATGCTCTCAATTACTGACAACTCAGGTTAAGGTATGAATTATACCATAACCAGAAATATAATAAAGAATAGAAAAGAGAAATGTCTAAATTAGGTTATTTTTACCTTTAATTCCTCCCCCAAAAAATTACTGTTAATAAATTTAATTAATTAACCGATGAGTTCATTAAGGTAAATAGATAAGTGGATAGATAGAGAGTAGTAGAGAAACAGTGAAGTAATACCTGGCAGCCTCTCTTTACAATTTCCGTAATACATTTCTGTATCAGGAGTGGCACCATCAATCCTGTATTTTCTTTCTCTACAACTTTCCGAATATCAACACCAAACATTACCGGCTCTCGGTTTATATCTAGTCCGTGAAGAGAATTCTCCCACTGTTCCAAAAGAGTCACTTTTACATAAATAAGGCCTCTAGGTTCAAGTTTGACAGCCAATTGATGTGTCTTGGTCACTCTGAATAAGGTGGGGAGAACAACAGTTCCATGACAGCACACCCGATTTTTTCTCGGCGTGGGTTCCCAACTAAATACTACCAGCTTCAAATGCTGAGCATTTTCAATTTCTATGTTGAAAGTGTGATCCATGTCCAAAAATGTCGTCCGACACGTAAGCAAAGCAGTTCTTGCTTTGTTTACTGAGTCTACCTGAATTGCACAAAAGACATCTTTTGAATCTATCCGAGGTGGTTTTAAATCCTCAGCACCATAGAAATGCACACTCATGAGCCCAGATATGTATTGGGAACACTTAGGTTGATCAGAAAAGCTGTAATGTCTGAAAGCATCAATGTCGATTTCATTCTTGCTACAGCTATTGGGAATGACTTCCTTTCCCTTCCCAAATCTGTTCTCAGATCCGTGTTTGCTAGATTTAGTTATGAGCTCAGGTGAATCTCCGTCACTGAGATAACCGCCTCTGCAGGAATACTTAGAACTCATAGAGGGTTTCTTCTGGTAGCTGTGCTGGGAAGACACACTGGTATCAAGATGGTACCGACTTATAACATTCCTCTTCGCAGCTGTGGTTGTGTTCCCAGAAGGCAGAATAACAGAATGATGAATTTCCTGATAGTCACATTTAGACAAGGAAGGGGGATTATCTGGACTGTTTATGTAATTCAAGTTTCCTCTAGCACTCAGTTTTCGGCTAAGTTCTGGCAACCTTTTCATTTTCATGGAAAGTTTCCTCACAGTGCGTGGAGATTTGATTTTATCCGGGAAAGACCAATTAATCGAACTGCCTTTTTTCACAAGGCTAGGGCTTGGAGAAGATGATTCTAAAATGCCCAATTCAGTCTTATTTGTAGCAGCTAGGATCCCAGGACCTGTTTAAAAAAAAAAAATAAAAGGGGGGGGGGGTATTATAAAGTGATATGTTTTGATTCCTATTTTACAAACCACCAACTTAACAAGTTCTCACATGCACAGAAATCCTTCTCATGTCTCCTCTCAATAGGGAGATTTACGGTAGTTACAAGTTAGGTGAATCTTCATTACCATGTTCAACTAAAATAGCAACAACCTCCAAAATGGCTTACAGAGGAAAGAAGCACCTCCCTCCTCTTCATCTACTTTTCTACTCTGAAATTTTGGAGGAAAGGTAATATAGGTTTCTTTTAGATCTTTCTACTGTAATGTATTTCAGTATGTTATTTTATAGCTACAAAGAGGAAACTAGGAAAGCTTTGTATTTTAATATATTAAAAACATATATTATATCATATCCCCTATTTTAATATTTCTTTAGAATGTTTCCTCTATATTTATTATCCTCTAAAAAATAAATTTTGGCCCAGTGATTCCACTTTTGGGAATATATCCTAAGAAACTCAAAACACTGATTTGAAAAAATATATGTGCCCCTATATTCACTACAGTGTTATTTACAACTAGAGGCCTGGTGCACGACATTCCCTCAGCCTGGCCTGTGCCCTCTCGCAGTCCAGGACCCCACAGGAGATGTCCGTTGAGAAGCTCCTGCCACCACTGCTGTGCTTGCCAGCTACGCCAGGCTTCTGGCTGAGTGGCACTCCCCCTGTGGGAGCACACTGACCACCAGGGGGCAGTTCCTGTGTTGAGTATCTGCCCCCTTGGTCAGTGAGCATCATAATGACCGGTCATTCCAATGTTTAGTCACTTTTCATATTAGCCTTTTATTATATAGAATAGCCAAGATTTGAAAGCAGCCCAAGTGCCCATCAGTAGATGAGTGGATAAAAAAGCTGTGGTACATTTACACATTGGAATATTACTTGGCCATAAAAAAGGAAATCTTACTTTTTTGCAACAACATCGATGGACCTTAAGAGTATTATGCTAAGTGGAACAAGCCAGTCAGAGAAAGACAGAGATATTCTAGTAGAAAAGAGACTAGCAGCTACAAGAGGGGACGAGTTTGGGAGGCATAGGTGAAAAAGGAGAAGGAATTAAGCAATAAAACCACCACAAAAATCTCACAGACTCAGGCAACAGTATGGTGATTATCAGAGAGAAAGGGAAATGTGGGGGAGGCAGAAGAAGATAAAGCAGTGATAAACGGTGATGGGAGGAGACTTAACTTTGGTTGGTAAACACACAATACAATATATAGATGATGTGTTATAAAATTGTACACATAACCTATATAATTGTACTAACCAATATTGCCCTATAAATTCAATTTAAAAATTTTAATATAAATATACGTATATATGGTAATAAATATACAAATTATATTGGGGAGCCAGAGAGTAATTCCTCTGTTTTTGTTTTAGGAAATCAATTTATAATAAAAATAACCTCCTCTTAAAAGAAGTACATTTAATCACATAGCTAGTTTTAAAAGAAGTTAAAAATTAAACATGTTGATAATTTTGACAACTAAGAGGCCCTCCTTGTTCTAAAATTCTAGTAGGACATATTAGCAAATATTATATAGAATGTTTCCTCTATATTTATAACCCTCTAAAAAATAAATTTTGGCCCAGCGATTCTGTTTCCAGGAATATATCCTAAGAAACCCAAAAACACTGACTTAAAAGAATATATGCACTCCAGTCAATCAAGAATAACAGAATACTAAATATCAAATCTAACTGAATAATTTTCAAAACTGTAAAAACATTTTCTTTCTTATATTACTTATATACAATAATTCCTCAGAACTTCAAAAGCTGAATCAGGGACTTTCCATGCAGCTTCAACATATTAAATAGACAACACAGAGATATAAACAAGTTTTCTTATTTTTTTTCAGTTTTCATTAAAAGTAAAGCATTGAAATGTTTTAAGATTTTTTTCCCCACACAGAAATAGCTTTACTTTTTTCTGAATGTCAAAAATCCAGGTTTATAATTAAAAGGTTTTTAAAAGATACAAAAAAATTATCAGTAAATAACAACCCAAACTTCATTACCATTAAGTAGTTATTAACCATTGTAAGTATTGTACTCAAAATAACATTAAAAATAGTTTAATATGACATTATTAATATTATTACTAAAAATAACACCAGCCAACAATGAGTTAGACAAAATATGAAAAATTAATATAATACTTAGTATGCACAGACCCTCTTCAATTTTCATTATGACTCTATAAGTTGAAGTATCACTAGTACCTCAGTCTCCACGTAGGGAACCTCATGCACAGAGCTGTCTGATTTGTCTAAGACAACACAGGTAGTAAGTGGCAGAACCAGAATTCAAAACTAGCCAAAGGCCTTCAGAGCCTATGTTCTTCAATACTACTCTTTCAGCCTCCCATTTTTGTAAATGTTTCTCTGTGCATATATACAGCCTCCCCCATCATTTTAAACATTTTTCTATCCATACATGGGGAAAAGGTTGGTTTACAGTTGTGAATGGTATGAAACACAATTTATTTTTTGTATTATTATTTAGGCACTGGAAGGAGGGGGGGGGGGCGCCTCAGCCCAGCCTGTACCCTCTCGCAGTCTGGGACCCCTTGGGGATGACCAACTGCCGGCTTAGGTCAGCTGAGTGGCACTCCTGCCGTGGGAACACAATGACCCCCCGGGGGGAAGCTCCTGTGTAGAGCATCTGTCCCCTGGTGATCAGTGCGCATCATAGTGACCAATCAACCAGTAGTTTGATCACTTAGGCTTTTATATATACACTAGAGGCCCGGTGCATGAAATTCATGCACAGGGTGGGGGGGAAGGTGTCCCTCGGCCCAGCCTGCACCTTCTTCAATCTGGGACCCTTTGAGGGATGTCCGACTACCCATTTGGGCCTGATTCCACACCAGGATCGGATCTAAATGGGCAGTTGGACATCCCTCTCACAATCCCCCTGCCAGCCTGTTTGCCCCCAACTTCCCTCCTTTGCTGGTCAGGTCACCCCTAACTGCCCTCCCCTGCAGGCTTCATTGCCCCCAACTGCCCTCCCTTGCAGGCCTGGTCCCTCCCAACTGCCCTCCCCTGCTGGCCATCTTGTGGTGGCCACCGTGTGTCCCATTGGGGGCAGGATCTTTGACCACATGGGGGCAGCCATCTTGTGTGTTGGAGTGATGGTCAGTCTGCATATTACTCTTTTATTAGATAGGATAGAGGCCTGGTGCACAGGTGGGGGCCAGCTGGTTTGCCCTGAAGGGCGTCTCAGATCAGGGTGAGGGTTCCCTTGGGGCATTGGGCAGCCTGAGCGAGGGGCCTGTGGTGGTTTGCAGGTCAGCCACACCCCCGGCAACCCTAGCAGAGGCCTTGGTATCTGGAATTTATGTACCTTCTATAATTGAAACTTTGTTTCCTTGAGTGGAGGCCTAGGCCGGCCAGGGTGTGCAGAAAGCTTTGCTTCTCCCATTGCCAGGGAAACCCAAGCCTCTCTCAACTGCTCTCTGTGGCTGCAGCCATCTTGATTGAGGTTAATTTACATACTCACTCTGATTGGCTGGTGGGCATGGTTTGTGGGTGTGGCTTGAGAAGGGTGATGGTTAATTTGCATATTACTCTTTTATAAGGTAGAATAGCTAAATTTTGTACACTTGTGGGGCCCACCTCCCAACCCCCCAATATTCACGTATTTTTGTATATGTATGTATATATGCACTGTTCGTTTTTTTGTTAATCCTCACCTGAGGACATTTTTCTTTGGATTTTAGAGTAGAAGGGAAGGAGAGAGACAGAGAGAGAAACACAGATGTGAGAAAGACACATCAATTGGTTGCCTCCTGCATATGCCTTCACCAAACCAGGCCGAAATAGCGCTGCCGACAGGGCCAACTGCTGGCAGCCCACTGGGATTCAGGTGTTGAGCATATGGCATTTTTCTGTTTCTGCTTTCACCTCTGGTAGAGGTCCCGCTGATAGCAGCTGCTGATGTAGCGACCACTTTCCGTCTTGATCATCTTCTTATCCTCTTGTCCTGAGTGTCCCACAAACAGCTTCTCCTTCCAGTCTCACTTGAGCTGCTGCCGGTCCCTGGTCAGGTTCTGGGCCTCACTCCCCATCAGGTCCAGGACACGCCAGCCACCTGCTGTTCAAAGGCACACCCATCCCCACCAACGCTTAGGCCCCATTCACTGTCGAAATCTTTGAGCCGATAGGGGACATGGAAATCCTGGTCCAGCGGCCGGGCCTCCTCCTTCCGCCTCTTGGCTCCCTGCTCAGGTCCTGGCTCTTGCCATTTTTGGCCCACAACTTCTATAAGACGTCCTCTATGCTCTCTTCCGCCACCTGCCCCTCCTCCTCCTCCTCCTCTTTCCCAGGCTGCTCCATCTGCCACACTGGGCAGCTCGGGGATGGGCCAGCCAGGCCCTCCCGCCACTCCTGTCAGCCCTGCTGGAAGCTGGCGATGGCCGTACAGTCCTTCTGCCACTTGGCCCGCACCACCTGGCTGCTCAGGTCCTGGCTGGAGGCGTTGATCTCAAAGATGGACGCCCATGAGCGGTGCTGCTTGATGCTGTCCACCAGCCTCAGCCGCTGCAGCTCCTCCTCCTCAAAGTTTGAGCTGAAGAGGGGGTGTAGGCCCAGCCCCGCAGGGTCCAGCTCCTTGGCCTGCTTAATGGACTCTGGCAAGTGCAACGGCCACAAGCGCACGTATCGCTGCTGGGCATCTTCGGCCACGCGGCCAGGGCCCCACAGCTGCAGCAACGCCTCCAGCGTGTTCCACAGGCCACAGTCCTCATCGTCCAACACTCTCTGTGGCACCCGGCCCAGCATGTAGTCCATGCCGACCATACCTGAGGGTTCCTCGCTGGGGGGGGGGGGGGGGGGGGACAAGGGTGAGAGCATGGCACAGGAACAGGCGCAGGTTCAGCAGGTAGGAGACCTCATCTGGGGCCACCAAGGAGCGGGCTGTGCCACTTAGGCCGGCCCAGACCACATGAC